GGGGGAGAAAGGCAGGGTCAACTTTGTCGCACTCCTCTCCCCCCATACATTGAAGCAAATGCTGCCCTTCAGCCAGTCTTGCAATGCGCTTGTCTTTGGAAAGGAACTGGAGAGAACGAAGCCAGCCCCGTCTCTGCTCTGGTGCAGACTGGGAATGTGGAGTCCAGTCATTTTCTTTCTTTTTCAGCATTGTTTATCCCTTGTGATGCTGTGTGCGTCTGCAGAAAGATTATTCACATCTTCCACCCAGCCATTCCTTCTCCCGGCCAGTGGGGGACACAGTGGGTGGCTCCAGTGCTGCTCTCCCCACCCAGCAGGCTGCCTGAGTCAAGGACAGAGGTGGGGCAGAGGCCGGCTGGGGCCTCTCTGCTTCTTGGAGGGTGGAGGCAGGACATTGGGCAGCCACGAGAGGGACTCCTCAGCAGTCCTAATGACTCTGCTGGTGGGAAGGGGAAGTGACAGTGAGATGCTGCAACTGGTCATAAGGAGGCAAGCTTCTGGCAATCTGGTTATAACCAAGCAGGTGAGCTTCCCCCTCCCAATTTCGTTAAAGCTTTAAAATTACAAAATAAATAAATACATGAAAAAGCAATAGATCACGTGGTCAGGGCGCAGTCTGAATGTATAGGTAGCCCACATGTCAACTTAGAATTAGAGCTGACAACTCCATCACTCCATGGCATGTTTGTAAAGTAACATGTTGTTACTGTGCCCAACCTTTGTCAGTTCTGGCCCCAATTCTTTAAAATATTTATTCAATTTCTATAGCCACCCATCTTAACCAACTTGTTAAGCAAATCATCCGCAATCATTAAGCATATCACTCTACTGCAACTGTTGATTTCCTGCTGGCTTCCCCATTGACTTTGTTTGTTGGAAGCTGTCTGTGAAGGTCACAAATGGTGATCGTGAGATTGTGGGATGCTGCAGCAGTTTCATCTTTGATGTAAGTCTCCTTTTGAGCACATAACATCTAACAGTCATTAAAAGAATAGTAAGTAAGGACTATTGTGGGTCCACTGGCAGCCCATAACGAATTCTGGTCTTACGGACTTCAGTGGATCTGCTCTTCATTTTACTGCATGCAAAGAATCCTCTGCCCCAAACACCCCTTTGATCACTTAGTCTGTTTTTCATGGGGATTACCTAAGAGAAGCAAGCTCTCTTGCAAGGAGTAGCCAGAGTGCCATTCCCTGGAAAAGTAATCTGTGTGAGTGTGTGTGTTGTGTGAGCATGGCAGGGATTATCCAAGGAAGGAGCCTGGACCCTAACCCACCCGTGCCTCACCTGGAACGCTGCTGTCCCTTGTGTGTGGGTCCTTCTCTCCAGCTCCGGCCAGCCTGTTAGGGCAGAAGGTTCTTGAGCCTTTGCTGTTCCCTCCGGCTTCTCTTCGGGGCTGCCATCCTCTCCCCATATCTGGCTCCTATCCCTTCTGGTCCACTTGAGCTGACATTCGTTAGGGGCCTTGGGGCCTTCAGGGAGCTGCAGCCCCCACCTCCCCCCACCCGAGCTATGATCCTCTGTATAGAGACAGTTCCCCCACCACCACCACCATGATCACCACCACCATCCTGGTGTTGAGACCAGGTTCGCCAGGAGAATTTGGCTTGTGTTTCCTTGCTTTGAATAAGATTTGAGGTTGATACCTTCTCATTCCTCACCTCCTTTTCACGGACAATTTCTGCAAAACTACCCGGTAGTTTTTTGCAAAATGGACCATGCTGGTATTTGAACTTGATTCCATCTTCTGAAAAACTAGAACAAAGTTAGTGTACAGATTACAAAGAAGGGTTTCAGTGAACCCAGAAGGTTATAGTGAGCCCAGGTTCTGCTAAGATTGATGGAGATTTTTAAAATCACAGCACCCAAGTATTTTCTGGCGCTTGCCTAGCTTCACAAGAACCAGAAAGAACGATTTTGGAGAACAATGGGCTCAGCTCACTCAAAGAGTTTTAAACTAAAAACGGAGGGGGAGAAAACCAAATTTTGCTACCTAATCCCAAACATAAACCTGAAGCTAATCCACCAAGTGGTAAGAAAGCAAGGAATCTCGGGTACAAAACAGGAGAGGTAGGAAGCAAGTACAGGCTCAGTCAAAAGAACTCAGATGCCTGCACAACTGATGCTCGAAATATGAGGAACAAACAGGGCAAACTAGAAATCCAAGTATATCAGGGCAGATACAAGGTTATTGCCATTACCAAAACTGGGCGGGATTAAACCCATAACTGGAACATACACCTAGAGCAGGGATTTCAAACTGCCAGCTTGCGGGCTGGACACGTCACAAGGAAACTGCGGTCACCCCATTGCCGGCAATGGGGAAAAAGCTCCAATACGTCGCACGCCGTCACGTGACGTTGCAAGTTTGACATGTCTGAGCTAGAGGGATTTAAATTATTCAAAAGAAACAGACCTAATAAAAGAGGGGGTGGTATTGCATTATATATGAAATAGCTACACGGCTACAGAAATGTGTGTGTGCATGCACACACAGAGAGAGAGACACAAAGAATGAATGCCTCCTCGAGTGCATTTGGGTTAATAAAAAAGAAAAAGGAATGGCATTGCCATAGGTGTAGACTACAGACCAGCTTCAAAAATAGAGGAGGGAACCAGAAGGTCAGCTACACTGGACTAATAGGAATAGAATGATAGAGGGGGTTGAAATTGTGGGAATTTTGTGGGAAGACTAAACATGTCCTATTGATATCAAATTATTGTTTATTTATTTGTTTATCAAATTTATTGGCTGCCCATCTTACCACAGGATAACTCTACAAAATCAAATGAGCAGCTTAGACTTTAAGAGAGCTCATTTCAACAAACACAGAACTTCCATGAATGGAAATCTTAAAGGAGAAACTAACTCAAGAAGCTTGGGAAACTGAATAATGAAATTATAAAAGCCTAGTCTAGCATAATACCAGTGAGAAAGAAAAATAAGAGATGCTAGATGAAACCAGCATGGTTGCATAAGAAGTAATAAACAGAGGGACACATAACTAAAGCAAAACACCAGCAAATAGCTCAAATCTGCAAAGATGTCAGGAAATCTAAGGCTCAGAGCAAACTAGGAGTCTCAACAAATGTAGAAAATAATAAAGTTTCAACTGTGATGGGGATGGAGGTAGAATGGTGTCCCTTCAGCTTATTGGTAGCTCACCCCATGCTGTGGATGCCATCTTCCCAGCAGCTCTGTAGATGCTGAATGGGAGGGAAGGGATGGGGGACGGAGAACGAGGCGGGGGGAACTTCATAACTGAGCTCTCCCACCCACTCAGGGAGCAAGAGAACCCCTTGGATCCAGCCCAGGAGAATGATGGGGTTGATGGTACTGAGGGGGATGAGAGCTTCAGCGGAGCCAGGAGAATTCCCTTCCCTCCATCTTGAACCTGTCAACCAGAGTGTCCCATGCTGAGGCCTGAATCCAGACTGAATGAGGTCCAGGTGGTCTTTTCCCTCCAGCCTCTGTAACTCTAGTCCAAATGCTGTACCTTATTATGAATTTTCCCGAGGAGGAGGAGGAGGAGGAGGAATCTGGTTGATGCTTTTCTGAAATTTGCATCTGAATGATGGTCTCTTGAGGAGAGAGAAAGCCCCTCCCCATCTTTTCCAGGGTGCCCTAACGACACTGGAAGAGCCCCTCTCTGCTCACCTCAAAGGACCTTGCTGTGCATGTGAAAAAGGCGCGCGCGTGCACACACACACACACACACAGTCTCTTGCTATGGCATATTTTCAGGCATAGTTTTGGTTTTAGGTAAAAACATCCTTTTTATTTATTGAGATATTTAGAATTAGTTTTTTAAAAAAGTTATGCAGATGGGTTAACACTAGAAGTGGCAAGACTATTTGTGCTTGTCAGGAATTCTTCCTGAACGTCCCCCTCTTGCAAACTATGTCAAATGGGTGATTCAAACACAGACCTACCACCACCACCACCACGGATGGAGCTTTATGGACCTCTTAATATTCAGGAAGTTAAAAACAGCACCATTTTTTTTGTACCATGTTACATTTATGATCGCTTAATACTCAAAAAATTATCCCAGGGAAGGGGAACCCAGGCTAACAAAAGGACCAAGGCAGGTGGGGGCTCTAAAAAGATCGCTCCAAACTTGAAATAGTAGAGGAATTTTCTGACCATGAGAGCAGATTGTGGAACAGATTCCTGCAGTTGGGGGGGGGGGCCTTCGTCATTGGAGGTTTTGCAGTAAAGATTGGACACCTTTTCTCTGGGATGGCTCTGAGGAGTCCTGGTCGGGGCAGGGTTTCAACCAGAAGACCCCTTTTAATTCTGGGCTTCTGCAATTTTTCATACACTGAATTATTTTCAGTATTATTTTTGTCAATTATTGCATCATTATACGTGAGCCTGTTATTGCTCTGAGCCAGGGACTGAAGTAGCATAGGTGAAGCACAAAATCAAAACCACGGGTGGGGGGGAGGGGCCTGGTGGCATTTAGAGGGCAGCCTCTAAATGGGAGGTCAGTCCCACTTCCCCCCCAGGTGCCACCCCACAGGGAGCCTTCAGCAGAGGGAGGGGATGGCGGGGGTGGGGGTGGGGGAAGCAGCAGCATGGAACCTGGGCAAAGGGGGAGCCTCCTCCATCCCTCCCCTCCTACCTTGGCTCAGGTGGGAAAGGTCCTCCTGTTCCAGGTTTTTAGACAGTTCTGAGCTGTAATAGTTGAGCGTGTAGCCTACACCAAAAAACAGTTGGATAGTTTTGCTTTGTTTTGTGAACCCCTAAGTGGCCCCTTGCCCGAGGTCTGCAGAAATATGCCAGGCAACAAGGGTTCCTCATTAAAAAGGAGGGTGTTGGCCCACTTGGGCAAGCGGCTGTATTAAACCTGCATTCTATACAGCAGCACCCTGGCAGGCTTACAGAAAGAGAAAGAGGAAGTCCGCTCCTCACTCAGGCTTCAATACAGCAAACTCACATCTTGACAACACCAATTTCCTCCCCCCCCCCCCGTGCCCCTCATTTTGTCTTGTAGCCCAGAAGAGACGAGCTGTCCTGGCATCGGCATGTGCCTGGCAAAGACGCTTTGTTTTGCCTGGCCGGAGGCAGAGAAGCCAAGTCATCCAGGGCCATTGGCCCGGTTCCCAGACGGCTCTCTGTGGCTTCTGGAGAGCAAGGGGGCAAAGGGTTTGTCCTCCTCTTAGCCTTCGAGAGGGGACAAACTAGCAGAGGATTCTCCCGGCACCACTCAGCGGAGAGGAGGGGAGTCTGGAAAGCTGACCAGGCCCTTGGGAGTCATTCTGGCAAAACAACGAGGACAGAAACTGACAGTAAGAATTGCTTTGCTGGCTTGCTGTGTTATTAAAACAGAAGGGAAACGAAATTGCAAGGGGTGCCTGGTCCTGCACTAAACCTTGTGAATCCATAAAGCTTTGTGACTCCCCATTTCACCTCAGTTTCTTTGCTGAGCAAATTGGGAGCGATTCTCTCCCTTCTGAAAGGAGCTCAGAGACGACCTCTCCTTTTCAGCCTGGTCATTCTGGGGGCTGCAACAATCTATGGGAAGGCCGATGCCAACACAACTGCCCAATGACCCACTTCCAATCTGGGCTCTGTTTGCTGCAACACCTGTACTACGCTCTTCCTCTGTGGCATGTGCCCTCCCCAGCCATCTCTTGGCTTTCCCTCCAGGCACCATTTAAAAGCTGCTCTGCCACCCTTGGTCCCAGTACAGCTCTCTCTGTTCCCTGGACCCGACCCCTCCCGGCCTCATCCCTGCCTCAGGACACGGAGTCCACACTGTGCACCCCTTCCCTACAGAAGCTCAGGGGAAAAGGACTGGGGAAGGGGTTGCAATTTGAAGGCGGGAGAAGCATTTCCTGAGATTTACCCATGAACCGCGCGGCACCGTTCCTGATTTCGGTCTGGGTATGATGGAGGAATCCCAAGGCCTGGGATATGAAAATGTGGATATTATCATGGTTGTTCCGCATCTGCAGAGAAAAAAGGCATAGGAATTCATGGTGAAGAGGACGAGGTCACCCACTCAGCGATTCTCTGGGCCTCTCCCCCTCTTTTCATCTGGCACGGCTTCCCTGAGTCGCCACTCCTCTCTGTGGCCTGGCTGGGACCAGCTTTGGCGGTGTCCACCAGCCACACCCTCTCCTTTGGCAGCCTGGTTTCCTTGTTACCGCTAACTCTCCCAAGCATAATTGCTTTCTCCAGCGGATTCCCCTGCGTGATGTGGCCAGACCGGTAGAGAGAGGACAATGGGAAAGAGCCAAATTGTGATTATAGGACGGTGGGATGCTGCAACCATTGGTAAATGCAAGCCACTGGCCAAGCACCACAAATGTGGTCTCGTGAAGGGGGGGGGGAGACGGTTGTTTGTTTCAGGGCAGTTGGATGGTCCCAAGGCAGTTGTAACTTCAAACAGTCATTAAGCCACTGCTTTTAAAGCCAGGACTGCCTACACTAACTTTGTCAATGACCTCCATTTGAAAAACAGCCACTGCCAAGCAACCCTTCACTGACCAAATATTTCCACACATTCACCAAGCAGCTCCGGATATCATCCCAGGCTAGACTGCGGAACATCAGCTTCAGGTGGGCCCACCCAAGGAAGACTCCGCAGTGCAAGAGAGTCAACTTGCAGCTCTGCAATCAGGAAGAAAGGGGGGGCAGGTGGGTGAGTTGCCCCCTGCAGAAGACCCCCAAAGCCATCTCAGCCTAAGATGGATCCTGCTGGTCATCGATCTAGCTGCCAAAGTCACTGACATCCCACCCCACAAACGACAGAAGTGGCCATCCTTTTCTAAACCTTGAATGCTTGTTAGAACCCGTGCTTCTCCCAGTGGCGGGACATGTTCGTGAGGCAGAAAGAGGAATGGGCTGCATCCAAACTCTCCTGTTTGCTCACTTTGTCTGCTCTTATAAGGTTGCCGGACTTCCCTCTTCAGTTATTGTGTAACTGAAGCCAGGGGTTGCATCCTGAGTGTTGGCTTGTGACAATAAATTTCACCTGCAGACCATGTTTGTTGAACTTTGCTGTGCCCCCTTCAAATCCTCCAGTTCTACATTCATGTTGGCGCTACTGAACCCAGTTCAATCTTCACCCCCTCAGAAGGGCGCCCTCACTGGAGGCTTGATTTGTCTCCGGATTCAAGGCCACATAGGCAAGACTCTAGGATGGTTTGTGTCGGGGTCCTTTCTGATTACACTGATGATAGTCAGTGTTTCAGAAGGGATCCTTCCTAGGCCAAGCTGGAGATACCGGCTAGGACTGGAGCTCTGGAGCTTCAGTGGAGAAACAGATATTCTACCCTTGAACTTTCACCCTTCCAAGGAAGGTGCAAAAGGACGGCCACCTCTGCAGGCATCTGAACTTGCCATGGCCACCGTGGTTTCCCGGTCTTTCAAATGGAGCAGCAGAGGGAGGAGGCTGTAGACCACTTCTTTCTTCAGTAGGGCTCTCTCCGTTTCCTTGGATCTCATCACCAGCTGCCCAAACAAGGAGATGGCGGTTGCCCGGACGTCCGCTCTTTCCTGATGGAGACACATAAAGCAAGAAGCTTGTGTGAAGTGTGTCTTGACAGTTTTTCTGTCATGGCAGCCCAGTTTTGATGCTCTTAGGAAACCCAAAGAATTTCACCTGACAGCAAAAGAGGAGAGAGATTTTAGTGGATTAACTTGGGATTGTTCAAGTTCTTTCAGGAAAACCCCCCCCCCAAAATTCCTCAATTCAAAATATAAATTTAGAAAATTGCCCTTACTGGCTTCAGACATCCTCCTCACTTTCAAGGTGACTATTCCAGAAATATGTTTTTTTCCTCCTGAATTTACCAGCCTTCAAGGGCTTGACATCCTTGGGCTGATTCAGCAGGTGTTCTTATGTTTTTATGGAAGCCCCAACCCCATTTCTTTAAAACTTACATCCTCAAAAAATGAGCGGACGTTCAGAGCAAGGTCAACAGAGATGAGCCCAACTCCCTGGCCATCCATTTCATAGAGTGTGGTCATTAGGTCACTCAGCCCGTCCAGAACATCTTCCTCACGTCCACTGAAAATAGAGTTGATCATTGTTGGAAGTTGGTCTCGCAGGGACTTCACCTGAGCAGACAAGAGGGAGGCAAACACAGATTTGAGAGGGAAGTTTGCCGTGGTCTCAAATGGCAGAGGACAACGCCTGCCTGGGGGGGGGGGGACCAGGAGGGTGGTCTTCCCTGCCTCTTCCTGCATTCCCCTTTGAAAAGAGAGAGCTTTGCAGATGAGGCTCTGCCAGTCCTTTGGCTTGCAGATCTGGCTTAATCTGCATCTAGGTGGCCAGTGCAATTGCAGGCCTGGCAAGGCTGCACAAGACTCCTGCCTCATCCCCATCAGGCGTCATGGGGGGGGGGGTGTCTGTCCCCAGAGTTCGTGACTGGTGTGGTGGGTGGCCCAGTCCTGTGAGGTGAGCAGGACCATAAAGACTCTGAGAGGAACGGTGGTGGCCGCTTTCAGGGGGAGGGAGCAGTCTGGCAGGGGTGAGTTGCCTTGTTGGACAAAAGGGGAGGAGACACAGGTTCCAGCCCACCCGTGCGCTCCGGGAGACCCTCAGCTGGTGATCCTCTCGGCCCAAACTACCACAGAGGGCCCACTCTGTAGGCCCCTTGACCCCCTGTACAGAAGCAGGGATATGTAGCTCAGATCCCTCCCTCCCCTGCATTAGGGGCCATTGCTTCCCCCTCCCACCGCCTCAGCCTCCCCCCCCCCCCGCCTTTCTACTGCTCTCAGAGGGGAACGTGGCGGAGGCTTTCCAAGGCAGTGACTCCCCAAAGGAGCAGGGAGGCCTCTGAGAGCCGCTGGCAGGAGAACAAGCCACGAACCTCCTTGGCTGGGCCCAGCATTTAAATCCCTCTCTGGACTGCTGAAGCTCCAGGGTGGGGTGGGTGGAGAAAGTATCCTCCTTTTTGAGTGAAGAATAAACTTTCTCAGCTTTTTTTACACCTCGGGTTTTTTTTAATAGAAATTTTATTAATAATTAAAAAGAAAATAAAAACCAACAAACCTAATACAAAAAAGAAACGGAGAAGAAAGAAAAAAGTCAAAAGTGCTAAAAAAAAACAGAAGTTGTGTTCAACTTCCTTTTCAGCAGGTATTACAAGTACAAAATTCCCTCTTACTTTAGGGTTACAAAAAACAAACATTCTTTTTTGTATTATCTGTTTATTTATAATCGTAAAAACAATAAGTCATGCTCCTTTTTTTCTGTTTCATGGAAAAGCCAAACAAGATTTCCAATTAGCAATAAACATAGAAATTATCTTTTCTCTAATTTCATTACAGAATCACATCAATTTGGCCATCTCAGCGAGTTCCATCATCTTCACCTAATTGTAGGTAAGGTCAAGTCTTTGCACTTTTGTGCATGTAATAATTTTGCTGCAGTTGTCAGGAAAAAAGTCCCTCCAGTTTCAATTGTGGGTGAATCTTTAAAATTTTCTGCACTAAGTAGGAATCCTGGTTTTAGCTGGGGATTAATGTACAAACAGCTCAATTTGTTTCTCTTTTTTTAAATTGCTGAGATAAATTCTTCATACAAATTTTTATAAATCAAATATTTACATCCTTCTTATATGAGTCTCTTGTAAGCAAATAATCTTTTGGTTTAATAATAATAATGATATTGATGATGATGATGATGATGATGATGATAATAATAATAATAATAATAATAATAATAATAATAATAATAATTGAATACATCAAGAGAGTGAAGAAGATCTTAAAATCCAAACTCAATGGAGGAAATACCATAAAGGCAATCAACACCTGGGCAATCCCAGTCATTAGATACACAGCTGGAATAGTGGACTGGACTCAAGCAGAACTAAAAGCAATGGATAGGCAGACCAGAAAAATAATGACAATGAATCATGCCCTTCATCCACGCAGTGACATTGATAAACTTTATCTACCAAGGCAAATAGGTGGGCGTGGAATGCTACAAGTACATCAGATGGTTGAAGAAGAAAAAATGGCTTTGGAAGAATATCTGAAGAACAATGATGAAGATGCACTGAAATTAGTATATCAGGAAGGCTTACTAACTACTGGAGAGACCAAACTGCCCTACAAGAAAGACCAAATGAAGAACAGAATAGAGGCATGGGAAGACAAAGCACTACATGTCCAATACATGAAAAAAATAGCTGGGAAAGCAGATAATAATAAAACCTGGCAATGGCTAAGAGCAGGAAAATTGAAGAAAGAGACCGAGGGACTAATTCTGGCTGCACAAGACCAAGCCTTAAGGACAAATGCATACAAAGTCAAAATTGAGAAGACAGCAACATACAGTAAGTGCCGCCTATGCAAAGAAGCTGAAGAAACAGTGGACCACTTGGTAAGCTGTTGCAAGAAGATTGCACAGACTGATTACAAGCAGCGGCATGACAAAGTAGCAACAATGGTGCATTGGAATATCTGCAAAAAATATCATTTGCCTGTAAGCAAAAACTGGTTGGATCATAAAATAGAGAAAGTCATAGAAAATGATAAAATTAAACTGCTCTGGGACTTCAGAATTCAAACAGACAAGCACCTGCAACATAACACCCCATACTTAACAATTGTCGATAAGAAAGACAAAAAAGTCTGGATAGTGGATGTGGCAGTGCCTGGAGATAGCAGAATAGAAGAGAAAGAACTGGAGAAGATAACAAAATACAAAGACCTACAAATAGAAATAGAAAGACTGTGGCAAAAGCAAGCAAGGGTAGTACCAAGAGTCATAGGCTCCTTGGGTGCAATCCCAAAACAACTGGAGCACCAATTGAACACCATTGGCATTGACAAATTCGCTATTAGTCAATTGCAAAAGGCGGCCTTATTAGGAACTGCTTCCATCCTGCGACGATACCTGTAATACCATCAAACATCCACATCTGCCTATCCCAGGTCCTGGGTAAGGACTCGATAGGTAGACAAAATGCCAAATCCAGTCTGAACATCTGGCTGACTGTGCGATGATCGATAATAATAATAATAATAATAATAGAGCTGGAAGGGACCTTGGAGGTCTTCTAGTCCAACCCCCTTCTCAGGCAGGAGACTCTATACCAGAGGTCCCCAACCTTTTTGGGCACCAGGGACCAGTTCCGTGGAGAGGTGTTTTTCTGTGTACCGGAGGGTTTTTGGTTTTGCATGCTGCCTGCATCTTGTGGATGGGCCCTTGCTTGCTTGTGCGTACTGGTTGCTGGCAGGCCGCAGCCCAGTACTGGTCCACTGACCGGGGATTGGGGACCCCTGCCCTATATCATTTCAGACAAATTATTTTTCTCTTTTGAGGAGCATTTGCTCCAAATATCTTCCGTGATCAAGCCAAAAACTTAGAAAAGTCACTTCCTGTGATACCACACTCTCTATCTTTCTTTTTAGCTTCCTGTTGAATCTTTTGTGATTTTTGTGCCTCTCCTGACATTTCCAAATCAATGTCTCTTCCAAATCATTCTTATTTTTTTCTAAAAATTCTCTCATCTTCTGAAGTCAGTTAAATTCTCTGCTGTTTCAAAGTAAAAATCTTACCTTCCCAGTTTGTTCCATCTGAAGGAAACCTTTTTTTCTGTTTTATTTTTTTTCAGAAAAAAGTTTTTTTTCTCTTGTGTAAAAGCCTAATAGAAATTTCCTTTAAAACAATTACTTCTGTATTATCCATTTTCAGTCTCCCCTTAAAATGTTGCTGCAAAACTTGATCACTTGTTTTCATTTGGAGGAAATGCACTGAAACATCCCTTTGGACATTTCTTGTTTTGAAAAATTTGAAATTTATTCTATAAACCTAATCAACCTCTGCGTTAGTATCCTCCTTTTCTCAATCTTCCCAAAATTTGCTAAATTTTTAATAATCCTCTCTGTAATATCTCAATCTGAACTGCTTGAGATTTAGAACAATTCATTGTTCTAAATCTCAAGTAGCATTCCTTCTCTTTTAATCCCAGATAGGCTCAGTTATCTAATTCTCTTTCTAACTATCTATCCCTATCTTGCTCTCTAAAATTTCCATTTTCTCATTAATCTGTTTTACTTCTCCAAGTGTTTGTTTTACAGAACTTTCCATTTTCCCAATTCCTTCTTTCATCTTCTTCTCTCACCTCAGCAATTATTTTCACCCGTTCTTTTTTTTTCAAAACCTGTCAATTTATTATCAAAACATATTAACTTACTACATATTTTCTAAACTAAATTTGGTGTTATTCCCTTTTCTGCAAGTAGCTCTAATGAACTCCACCTTCTTCCCATTCTTGAGGTTTTTCTTGTTTTTGCCATTTTAATTTTATATTCCAAAGACAGAAGTAATTCACCCAGGGGGGAAATAAGAAAACAAACTTCTCCCTTTTTTCTCTTTTTGATCTTTCTACCTCTGTAACATTTTCATCTCTGATGGCACATTCCACAATTTCAAAATTGCATGTTGAATTCCATAGCTACATTGCATTTCACTTCTCCATAGCACCAAAGTATCAGAGTTTCATCTTTTTTTTTGTAAAATCCGCCAATTATTTGCATGCTTTAGTTGTAAACAGAACACATTCCCAAGGTCTGATCTGTTTGTATAGGTTAAGCTTATACAAAATAACTTTTACCAAAAATAAAAGTAGTAAAGATTAAAAAAAGTTATTGCCTTCTTTGTCCATTTAAAATGTTCTTAAATCATATGTTAGTTAGGTTTTGGTTAACTATTCCTGAATTTTTAGATCTTAGATCTTGTTTTTATGTCTGTAATCCAGAAAAACAGATACATCTATCAAAAGGGGTCTTTATCTTGCTGCAACTCTTTATCTGTAGGATTACCTAACTTCAAAAGTGACTAAGAAATGGGAATGGCTAGATTTAATATGCTCATGGGCTACACTGCAGTTGAAATTGAAGATGGAAACCTCTCACTCCCAGCTGCTCCACTCAGGAGCCAGTGGCAAAAACCTTTGCTTGTACATTCACTTCTGAGGAGCAGCCGTTCAGAGTACAAAAGGGCTTATCTCAAAATCTTTCTTTGATCCAGAGAGATTTCTTTGATCAACATCTGCCCTCTGACTGGCAATCTTGCCTGGAATATTGTCCCCCTTCGGAAAAGACTAATCCAAGGTCCCCGGGCCATGGCACATTACCAAGCTTTGAGCCTTTCAGAACTGGCTGCCGAAGAGGCAGGCAAGCACACGCACCCTTGGGCTTGCCCGCTACTCATGCAAAACCATCCATCTCCTCCCCCCCCCCCGTCCACGAAGTGGGAAGGGGGGGGGGAATTCTGGTCTAGTCCACCACTAATTCTATCCCAGGTTTCCCTTTGGAGGGCTTTCTGTTTCTTTCTGTTTCATGCCAGTCAACTGCCTACCTCTCGGTCTCTACAGGATTTCTGCCACCTACCAAAAGCAGTTTCTCCCAGGAAGCTCATCTGGCTGGAGCAGGCTGTCCTGAAGGTACCTTGATGCCAAGCCACAGACTGCTTTACCAATAAAAATAGCATTTTGAACTGCACCCGGGAACCTTCTGGTACCAGCGCAGGGCCTGCAGAATGTTTGTAACCTATTCAAAGTTGTGAGTGGCCTGTTCCTGAGAAAGTTGACTCTCTCTGCAGGCGTAGCTCTTGCTGGGCTCAAGTGGTGCTATTTATTTATAGACAAACAAACAAACTTATTGCCCTACCTCAGCCTTGTTATGTTGCTAGAGATACAACTGTTGTCACTGGCTATAAGCGTGCTTTTGGTGTTTGCCATGCAGTTGGCGCCTCATGGATGCGGAGGGTTCTTGGTCTCCTCGGGCATTCAGATGGCCAGGCGGTCCCAGTCTTTTCCCTTTCAGAGGTGCATCTTCTCCCACCAGCTATCATTCATTGTTCCTCTTGCTAGTGCGATGATGCTACTCTCACCAAAGGCAACCATGTGTCGATCGGGTTGCTAAGAGGGCTGATCAATAGCCTTTCTCTTTTTCAGTATTTGCATCTGAGCTTCATGCTCATATTTCTCTCAGATGTTGCATCTGCTGCCTGCCAGCGGCTCAGTGGTGCCTCTTGGAAAGTTTCCTTCTGGATGGTTTCTGATGGATGAGCAATTGTTCTGTGTACTGTTCTCGTCTTCTGGCTCAGCAAATACATGCAGAAGGACGTTGCAGCACCCAAGCTACTATAGATGCCATTCAAAGAGATTGATTCGCTCTTGGAGTCTGGGTAGAAGCTTCTGGAATGCCTTATGTGCCAAGCTTCTAGTGCTTCTTCTCGGCCAAGGACTCAGGAGGGGGGTGTATCTCAGACCCACCTTCTTTTCCCCTATTTACAAACTGACTTTATTTATTTGGCTAGCACACATGGATACAAGTTTGTTTTGGTGTTTCCTGGCCCACTCACCTTCTGGCCTGAGGACTCCCTGCCACTCATGCCATGACAGTGGTCTTGGGGGGAACGATGGGCCAACTGGAAAATTAAAATTTTACTGGGCAAAGTTTGTCAAGAGCCACAGTTGATGTAGCCTCAGGCTTTGCCTCTTGTATGGTTTCAATTGAGAAATAGACCCCCCAAAAGATTGTGACTTGGCTTCACATGAAATGTTTGGTCACCCTCCTTGCACAACTCAAGGTTTGGACCTTCATTCCTTGGCCCTCATTACAGGAAATTATTTTTTTAATCCATGTATTTTGTCTCTGAGCACGCAAATCCAGCCTCTTGTGAAAAAGGGAAGCCTTCCTTTTGGATCCTGAACTGCACTCTTATCTACTGGGAGGCTGGGTTAGAGCCATTCCTTCTGGAAGGCCGCATCTGGCAGCCCAGCTGAGGTGGACCCTCCCAAGTGCCGTCAACCACCTATGCCTTTGGGAAGAGGGTTGAAGGATCACGTGGTCCGTCACACCCAAACACCTTTGGGTGTTGTTGCTTTCAGTGTTTAGGTGATTTATCTACCTTGCACTGTTGAGCTGACTGTGCTTGAGCACATGGAGATTCAGGAAATTAAGCAGATAAGTGTAAATGAAAGATGTGCCTTTAAAATATGTTTCTTGGAAAGTAATTATCAGAAAGCTTCTAATGCCCTTTCAGAAGGGAAGTTAATGCTTTGCCCTTATATGCAAGTGAGAGAGTCACCTAGGCAGTAAGAAAGGGAATGAGAAGAAACCACGATGCTCTAGAAGCCAGGCTCTTCCTAGCAGGAAAAGTAAAACTTGAGGATTTTAGAGTTAAAAGTGTGCAGAGTTAATACCTGGCCTGGGTCACCCTCTGCGCTCCTGCCTTCTGAGCCAATCCATCTCAGACTCTGACCTGTGTGGCGCCTGGTGTTTGACCCGAGCAAGTCAGGAATCGCAGAGGGGCAAAACAGCTCTTACCTTCCCTTGCTGGAAAACAAAACTGTTGAGCCCTTTCAGGCAGAGGTCTTGCACTGAGGGATTGGGTGCAGCCAGGCCCTCCTCCAGATGCTCCCGGAGGCTGAATCTGTTCATCATCTTGATGGCAGAGGAACTCTTGAGAAACTGAGGAAGTAAAAGGACCTCTTCTTTATTGGCAAATGATTGTTCAGGGGACAGAAAGGCTAAACATGAACAGGCTCCGGGGTATGGGAGGACGTGTGTGTGTTTTGTGTGTGTGTGTGTGTGCATGCAGTCAGCTGGAACAAGAGGGCAGCATCATCCACAAAGCTCCGCCTCGCTTGGTGGCTTTAGGACACCCTCCCCCCCACTCCAGGCAAGTCCTCACCTCGATCACGAGCGCCAAGGCCGTCATCTTCTTCAGCTCATCCTCCTCACTGCTGAGAATGAGGGCAGCCTCCCCAAAGATTCCCGGGATCTGGGCACTGTTGCACTCAGTCATGGCCCTGCGTGATGGGAAGTCAGAGTCAGAGGGGTGATGGCTGTGATGTGAGAGGCAGAGGCCACTAGGGGGCAGCCAAGAGAACTGCCTGCCTCCTTGCCCCCCCACCCCGCTTTCATGGGCATCCTTGAGGGCCCCACCTGGCACCGGAGGAGGGTTTCCCTTGGTTCTCCTCGTTTGGGGGGGAGAGGGTGACCCTGCTTGTCCTGTTGTGGCAGGGGAACTGGGAGGGGCCCAAGGAGAGCCCCACAGCCTGCCCCCCACCAGCTTCCTAGTTGCTTGGAAGGACGGGAAAAGGGTGCAACTCAGCTCACTCTTCACGTTTGGGCTGATCAAAGCAGATCATTTGCCCCGCTCCAGCCCAGGGGGGAAGGGGGGGCTGCTGCACAGAGAAAGGGGCGCTCCCCACCCCCAATCCCTGGAGGAGGGATCTGACCCCAGAGGCTCACCCGGACAGTGTGCCTGGGGAGAGAGGGAGGACGGCCACTGCCTCTGACCCCTGGAGGGGACAGCGCAGGACTCAGGTGTCCTGGGGGGGAGGGGGCACTCATGGCCAGGCCTCTTACCGTGCCAGCAGACGTGTGCCCTGCAAAAAGCGCTGGGGGTTGCTGAGCACCACCCAGCCTTGCTGGAACTCAATGCAGGCATAGACTGCCCAGTCCCCGGCCACAGAGAAGAGGCTCTTCACAATCTCCCCTGAAGTGCTGCAGGTAGAAAATGGATGTCACGGGTGCTCTCCTCCTCCCTCGGGCGGGGCCTGGTCTTTCCCAAGGTGGAAGGGTTCCTTCTTTCTCGGAAGGAGTTGCTGTTCCAGCCCTGGCCTCAGCCACTGCCATTCGTGATGGGGCTGCCAGGAAGTGGGCCTCCAAGTCTAGCCTCTTGCCCAGGAGCACGCAAAAAGCAGGGCACCCCGTTCCTTTGCTCCAGCCTCAGCCCTTTGCTCCGCTCGCCCGTTTGACGGCACAGGCAGACCCACTGCAGAAAGCCCACAGTTGGGGTTGACCTCAGGGTGGCCCGGAAAGACTGAGGAGGGGGCTGCTGAAGGGGGGCTTGTGAAAACAGAACGGCATATGGGCCCAGACTTTCCACAGTCCCTTCTGCAAATCCAGCTGGTTGGACTTTGACAGAAAAACTCTCCTGTAGCCCCAAGAGGGCCCAGGACGGTTCCCTTTTCTTTAATTTTATGTTGCCATCGACCCTTTTTGATTCCTGCCTGCTGGTGCTTTTAACAAATATCCTGAACCGGACATCGGACTTGGCGCAGACTCTGGGTGCTGAAATCCCCCTGGTTCTGAAGACGAGCCAAGGTGCCGGAGAAGGTTTGGTGTGTGCAGAATGAATGGCTGTCCATGCCTCTCTACCTGTGAGATATTTTTAAAAGGGGGATCTGAAATCCTATCCTACCTGGCAGGGCTGCAAGCACAGACATTTTGGCTGACAGGGTGAGGATTGGCTCGTTTCTCGGCCTTTCCCCAGGGCAGTGAGCCAAAGCTGCACCCCGACTTTCCTTCCCAGCTGCCCTTGACTGCCTTTTTAGACTAGAAGTTGCTAACGACCCTAATGTTTGGCTTTAATTGCTAGAGGTTTTAGTACCGATGCTATTATTAATGTCCATCCATAGTTGTAGCTTTTTATATTCTGCCAAAGGTGTTTTTCAAAAGTAACTAGGTTTTTTCTTTGAAAACGTTTCATTTCCTCTGAACTGAAGAAGCTTCTTGAATGAGCAGTGAAATGTTTTCAAGAAAAAATTAAGAAAGTAGAGTTGACTTTTGAAAAGCACCTTTGGGATTTCCATCATTTATGGACCATCTACTGACCCCCAGCCACTCACTGACCCTTTGGATAGTCCCACTGACCCTTGGAGGTCAATACTGGCCCCTTTTGGAATCCTGGACTAGGGCCAGCAGGGAAGTTTCTGGGGTGGGGAGGGCAGGGGGATGCTATGCTGGCCTGAAGGTCAAAGCCCGACCTGCCCTTGCAGATCCTGCTCTGTCTGGGGGGGGGAGGGGGAAGGGGCCACTGGTGCTGAGAGGTGTGACCCTCTTCCTTTTGGTACCTCTGGAAGGTGAGTGCTGTGGGGTTTTCCCTCAGGATGAGCTCCTGCCTGGTTTTCAAGGCCTCTGGCAAGTCCAGCTGCTTCACGTAGAGGACCTGCTTCAGGAGAGGGATGAAGAGCTGAAGGTGCATCTCAGCCAGGGCTGCCCGATAGCCAGGGAGGTGGAAGGTCTCGTAGATGACATTCATGGCCTGGCAGGGAGAAACGGGGAGACGCCACCCTCAGAGAAGGAGGATCCTGGGCAGCGATTCCTTTTTATCCTTGCTCCCCCCCCCACTGGAGGGAGAGGGGGAAGGCCATTACAGCTGGTCCTTAACTTCACGATCACAATTGAGGCCAACCTTTCTGTGAGTAAACAAGAGAGTTATTAAGTAAATTTTGCTCCATTTTATGACTTTCCGTGCCACAGTTGTTACTTATCTATTTAGAAGATTTTTGTGGCTGCCCAATAGGATAGAATAGAGAATAGAGTAGAGTAGAGTAGAGTAGAGTAGAGTAGAGTAGAGTAGAGTAGAGTAGAGTAGAGTAGAGTAGAGTGAATAGAATAGAATAGAATAGAATAGAATAGAATAGAATAGAATAGAATAGAATAGAATAGAATAGAATCTTGGTTACTTTAAATGTTCACTAATCAGCATACATTAAAATGAAATTTCATTGCATTCAGCTCCCCCAAAATACTATTATGCATATACCCAGATACACACACACATGACACACAGAGAGAAACATCACAGTCTAGTTCGAATGTATACATGTACATGGCAAAAAAAGAGAACCCTGTGAATTTACAAGACAGATGGCATAATAAGGAATAAAGCTGTTACAGAATCTAGTAGTGCTGCTGTAAATACTTCGAAACCTCCTTCCAGAGAGGAGCAGCAGAAACAGACCATGAAGTGGGTGTGCGGGTTCACTAACAATACTTGGAACTCAAAGTACATATAGCGCTTAAAAGCAGTAACCCGAATCATGGGAAGCAGGTTTCCTATACTCTTCTTGGCTGTCCTCACTATTGTCTGTGTGGACCTTCTGTCTGAGGCTCTGCTACCACCAAACCAGGCAGTGATGCAGTTTGTTAAGACGCTCCCTATCCTGCCTCTGTCAGAAGTGGCCAGGATAGAAGGAGAACGATGTGCTCTCCTCATTAGATGCAGGAAATGCAAATGCTGGTTTGCACGCTTCACTAAAGATAATGTATGAAGAGACCAAGTCAGATTGTTAGATATCTGCATCACTCAGGTACTTCATACTATTGACCATCTCCACAGCTGCAGCCTGGATGCAAAGTGGAGTATGACTATGCCGTCTCTTTCTAAAATCAACAATGTTCTCCTTTGTTTTATTAACATTCAAAGCCAGATTATTTTTACTGCAGTTGTTAAGTTAATAACATGGTTGTGAAAGTGAACCTGGCTTCCCCAATGACTTTGCTTGTCAGAAGGTTGCAAGAGGTGGTCACGTGACCCTGGGATAGTGCAACCGTCATAAATACATGCGAGTTGCCAAGTGTCCAAATTTTGATCACTTGACCAAGGCATGCAGATGAAAAAGTCATGTCATTTTTTTCAGTACCGTTGTAACTTCAAACGATCACTAAATGAGTGGTTGTAAGTCGAGGATTCTCTGTATCAAGATCAGAGGACCTAGCACCTTGAGGAACCTGGAGGAAATGTCTCCGACAGGCCCCACCCAATTCATCCAAAGATAAAGTGAGAGCGGGGAGTAGGTGGGGGCGGGGGCCAGGGGAAGCCAAGCACACAGTTGAACTGCAGGGAACCCATCACTGAGCTGTCCCAGCAAAAGTCGTCCCGATCCGCCTGATGTCGCTTCCTTAGCCTGGTCTAGTTGACCCTGGTCTCGAAGTCACCCCACACAGAGTTAGGATTCAGAGGCGTTTTCAGCAAGAACGTGCTGCAGATTGACTTGGACCGCGAGGGGTTTCCAGTGCCAGGAAGACGCTGGCCTTGGATGGGGAAGAACTGGCTTGGTCTCCACCCTGGCAAAGCTGAACGGGGGTGGCCTTTCGGGCTCCTGTGCTCTGCCATCCGTGACACCAGCTGGGAGATCAGCCAGAGCTGGTGAGTCAGCTGGGACTTCCCCTGAACCCTGGGCAGAGTAGGTGGCAGCCCCAGCCAGACGGCCTGGGCACCGATTCCTCTCCTAGGCTAGGGAGACCTGCCACTTACGATCACTCATGGTTCACTTTTTTCAGTGCTTGTTTTTACTACATTGTAGGTTTTGTTGGCTTTGTTTGCTGACCAGGCTATAACAAATACATATTTTTTTTTAAAAAAAGTGTTATAATCTATCATATTTTAACATGCACAATAGATTTATAGGGAAATCCTTTAATGTTAATACTAAATTATGTTCCAAAGCTTTGGGGTTTGAGTATTTTTGAGGAGTTAATGTTTGTATCAATCCTGAAGTGCTGCAATTTTGAGAAAAGTGAAAAATAATAGCACTCCTGAGATGCATAATTTATTTAGTTTTGAAAAAACAATCTTATCTATAATCAAAAATTGATACAATAAGTTCTCTTTTGGCATAAATGCTATGACTTTTGTAACAATACTGTATTATTACTTATTTTTTTAATGCAGATTTAGAAACTTTTAAGTATTTTGAATATTGAATGGATTTCTGATATGCACACATAGCTTCCTCCTTTTTGCTGCTTTTTCTTTGGGTTATTATAAGTTATAGTTATATAATATATAGTACAGGTTACATAGTATATAGGTTACATAATACATGGTTATATTATAAGTTACTATTATCTCTCTCCTTCTTCTCTAACTGGAAAAAAAAAGCATTAAAAAGGAGCTAAGGAAGAGAGGGCAATGAACCCCTGGCTGCACCCGCCATCCTCGTGCAAGTCGTAGCGCTGCCTAAGGATTGCCAGCTGAGAGCCACGACCTGGAGAGCAGGTAAGGCTGTTGTCCCTGGGGACAAGTGTGAGTGATCATTGTTGTCACCAGGACTTTGTGTAGCAAAAGCAACACGTCCATCTGCATCTTCTCTGAGAGCTGCTGAAGATTGGCTGAGTTCCTAGCGAGGGAGACTGCTGGGCCCCAGAGAAGCTTTGATAGAGGCAAAAGGCAGGCAGGCAGGCAGGCTGCAGATCGGCGCAAGGACATCCAACTTTATGCTGACTCTGGGTAAGGGGAGCCCTTTAATGGAGCTTGGAGGAAAGGCCTGGAGGAGATCCCCCCCCCCCAGATCCCAGAGCCTCCCCTGTACATGCCTATCCAAGTGAGATGCAAGGGGCACATCTGCAACGTACAATGTGCTGATTCACTGGCCAGGGAGGGCATTTATTGCATTTTAAGGGTGAGATTTAGTTACTGCCTCAACTGAGATGGGAGTCTAGGCAGGGTTCAGAACGGAGGGCAATGGTAAAATGTAAGATAGTAATTAAAAATATAATGAAAGCATAATTGTTGCCTTTCCCGCATGAGACAAGGAATGCTTTTGAGAGAGATAGACATGTTGTTCTAATCAGGAAGAGAAGCCTCCAGCAGGCCAGCCAGGCCAGGAGAGGGGCCAGGAGGACGGGTGGCCCAGGTGGGGTGTCACCTACCGCCAGCGAGGTGGTTGCGCTGCTGCCGCTGCCGCTGCCGTCTTCTTGGCCCCCAGGAGGGTCCTTCACCTGCAGATTCTTCAGTAAGAGGTGCAGGATTTGTACAGCCACTTTGGGGCTGGAAGCCATGGCTGCCCAGAGCTCATTGGCCTGTCTGGGAAATCAGCAACATGAGTGTGAACGTTGCAAATGGGGAGTGGTCTCAGAGGGGGAGATAGAGCCTGCGGGAGCCTACCTGTTGAGAGGTATGGAATAGGATAAGCAGCTCTGTACGACTTCCTCCAGGCGACATGGGATCATCAAGGTTAGAGCCCTCAGCACCACCTTCCGGGTCCAGCAGGAAGCATGGCCTGGCTGCAAGCACGTGTAGACGCCTGCAACCACATCGCTGACCTGCAGCCACGGAAGAAGAAAGGCTGAGCCGCAACACTCAGCTTCCCCAGGCTTGAGGGAGGCTGCCTAAGCCATCCCAGCCCTCTTTCCATGGCAGGATTAGTTGAGGGCGGGCATCCTTTCACGCTGCAGGGGACACAGCCTCGCCAGGACCCTTCAGGGTCAATCCTGCAACCTTTGGGTCCTGCCCTACTTCGGACGGTGCCAGGGCATTTGCCACATATGCACAGAGGATAAAAACAAGTGCAATGAAGATGATAAACAGGACCCAGAACCGGACCCAGTCAAGGCTGCTTCAGCTTCTCCAGGCAGGCCAGCTGAGGAAGGAGGGACCGCAGACAACACCAGCCTCCCCTTCACTGGGACAGGGGCTGGTAGGCAAACCCTTGAAAGGTTGGCAGGGCTTCTCTTTCCCTCCCTCCCTCCCTCTGGCACCCAAGAAGGTCCAGGGAGCCTCCCAGGTTTCTTCCTTCCGCCACCCATCTTTCCAGGGTAAGTTGGTGTTTGCATCCTATTTTCTTCCAGGCTCTCCCTGAATGCAGCTGCTTAGGTCACAGCCTAGAGGCCCTGGGTTCCAGACACAGAGCGTGGGCGATTCGCCTGCCTGCTTCTTCACCAGTGGCAAAAGGGCTGTTCTGTCAGGGTCACCCAGGAGATTATGCTGCAGGTTAGCAGGTGCCTCGTTTGGCACCCGAAGGCTGTTTGCTGCCACGGCTGCTCTGCCCTTCTGACCCCTTGAAATGTGCCACCGGTGGCCCTGGAGAGCCAAGGCGAGGGAGCAGCATAAGGAGGCCTCAGCCATGAGAACTCAGAGAGCGAATTGGGTCAGTCCAGTCTCTCTCCGCCCCTGATGCCCCTTTACAGGGCAGGCAAAAAGGGACATTTCCAGGTGAGCATCTTTCTGGAGGAAACCACTCACCCTTTCCACCTTCATGGCATGGTTCTGCAGAACTGCACTGAGGACCTCTTCTGCTGCCACCAGTACTTCTGGGCCGGACCCTCTCAAGTAGTCCAGAACGGAGAGCAAGAGGTTGGTCAGCTGAACAGAGAAGAGCTGGTCACCGCAATGCTGCAAAGAGGAGCACAAGGTTTGGCAGGTGTCCATCGCCTCCCTTTCCCCAAAAGGATAGGGCCAGGGAGCTCCCAAGCAGTGCTGAGCCCGCCCTCCCTCCCTCCCTCCCTTCCTTCCTTCCTTCCTTCCTTCCTTCCTTCCTTCCTTCCTTCCTTCCTTCCTTCCTTCCTTCCTTCCTTCCTTCCTTCAGAGTTTCTTCCGTGGGAGATTCAGGCGGCCAGGCGGGAGAGGATGGGGAACAGCCTGCAGGCCAGGTGAGACTTGGGAGGGGTAAAGCCAGCCCTGACAAGATGGAATGGCTTTTACAACTAGTTGCAGCATCCTGCAGCCACGCAATTGCAATTTGGGATCATTTCTGCCTATTTCAAGCAAAAGAATGCCCATTGGGGAAGCTACTTTTGCTTAACGAACATGGTGATTCACTTATGACTGCTGTACAAATTATCATAAAATCGGGCCTGACTGGAATTATGACTGCAATGGGTGGAAATTCTGGTCCCAATTGCAGTCGTTAAGTCAGGGACTAGTTGTACACCATTTGGGGCTTGGAGTGAGCACTTTGCACCCATTGGAAAGAACCAAGGTACCATCGCTATCTGCCAACTGCCGCCCGGTGCTCGACCAGCAGGGCTGTCCTCTTCCTGGAATTTCACGCTCCTCTTCATTGTCCACTTCCGCTTCTTCTGCTTGCTTGTGCTCAGACCTGGAACAGAAGAGAGCAGTTCTCATTGTTATCATGTATATCATTCAGGACTGGCCTGTGGGGTCCTTGGTGCTCCCTTTCCTCCCAGAACCCCAAAAGACCAGCTGTGGAATCTGCCCCACAGATCCTCTGAGCAGCAGCAGCGGAGAAGACAATGGGTCGATGGCTAGTATTATAAACCTCACCTTTACGGTGCAGTAAGATCTCATAGAGACAGCTGACTCCTTGCACGGCAAAAGAACTAATGCACGGCACCTGGTCATTGCACAGACCTATCAAAAGGGCCATCAGGTGGGCCAGCTTGCTAAATTCTCGAGAGAGCTAAGGAAACAATAGGGAGAAGGGGGAATAATTTACTGAAGGGGTTTGCAGATGTTTCTTAGTTAACTTGTGTGCGAGGCCGATTCTTGCTCTTTGTCAGAACAAACCCAGAACCTTCCGAAGCTGCGTCCCACATACCCACCGTGGACCATACCAAAAATCTTCAAACAAGACTTCTGGGCTGTTGGGTGGGCAGGAGAAAGGTTAAAATGCCACGCCCACAGGCAGGCTTGGAGGGGAAGGGCCAGGCACTTTCCCTTCTCGGTGGCACCACCTGACAAACATTCCAGCAGGGGCACAACTGGGCGGCAGTGATGAAAGGGCAACAAGACGTTCCAGCAACAAGATTTGGTGATGTGTTCCACGCAGCACAGAATGCAAAAAGCTCAGTCTACACATGTGAAGCAAGGCAGGCACCAAGTTTTCCGTGTGGATCTAAAGATGCTGCTGGGGCACATCTTTGGGCAGGTCTCTACCCAGCTCCACCTCTGCTTGGCTGCAGCACATGGGAAATCGCCACCTGTGATCATATTTTGTTTCCTCACAAAGGCAGCTGATGGGACGCCTTCAGGCCCCAAAAAACTGGGCAATGAACTGAGCCTGCGCACAACTCCTCCCCAGATACATGGCTTGGCCGTCCGGCACACAGTCGGTCTGCTTCACAGAGGTGCCAGTCCTCATTTAATGTAGACAGGAAGTATAAACTCACCTTGCCCAAGGCCCCAGTGGGTGGGAGGGAAACGGGTCCAGACTGGCACGGCAGCTGATCTGCCTTCTCTCTTAACACGGGGGCCCTGCTGCTCTTTCAAGGAGTGTCCCCTGCTTATCAGAGGCTGTGCCCGAATGGCCATCACATTTATTTTATATGGCCGCCTATGATATCATAATTCTAAGTGGCTCTCAAAATTCCACAAATGCATAGCTAAAACTGAAAGTACCCTAGTCTCCCTAGTCTAGAAGGCTAAAGAAACAGGGGTCCTGTGGATCTCATGGTGTGAGCTGGGGCAGAAAGTCCCATCAAGGGGTAACATTAAAGGGAGAGGGTCTGGAACATGCCCACCTACCTGTAGTGTTTTTGTGGAAAAGCAAACACAATCCTTGTGTCTGTGTTCTGTACCATACTAAGGAAAACCCTCAGTCTCTCAAGGAGGGGAAGCTCAAGCTGAGCAGCTCAGTTTACGGATACTCACGTCAAGGTGGAAGCGATCAGCTACAAACTTCAAGAGCTTCATTGCTGTCTCCACAGCTCTTTCGCGCACATGATCCAACTTTGATACCATCCATGGTTCTATAAGCTATCAAAGGAAAGGCAGGCCCTGGCTTAGAGGAACACATTTTTGGGGGGGATGGCAAAATTGAAAAAAAAACTTCCCAAAAAACATAAAACCATTTCCATTTTTATTGTTTTATAAATATTTAACGTTTATGATCTTAATGGTTTTAATGCTGTAAACTGCCCAGAGTTGCTTCGAAATGAGATGGGCAGCAAATAAATGTAATAAATAAATAACAAAAAGGGGGGGGAATAGCAATGGTCTGTCCACTTGGGAGTTAAATGTAATTTTGCAGTGTAAATATGGTGAATATATCCAAGAAAAAAAATTGTCCTGGGCTGAAAACCTTAAGTGTAAAGCTCAAAAACCTGATGGGGGGGGGGAGAAAAAGGAAGCAAAGAGGGTGCCTTTTCTGAAATTGCCCAAAGGTGCCAGAGTATGGCGGTGCCTCGGGCCCAGCGTGCCTGGAGTTGGCCCTGGTTGTGCCTTGACTCCATAGAACTGGTAAGGTTACGAGTGCCCCCCAAACCCTCAGGGGCTTATATATCTCAATGAGGCTGTTCCTATGCAGGTATGAAGAATGTCACCAAGAGCATTTCACTTCCCTGTGGATTTCTGCAAACAAGGTGTGGTCAAATGCCAATTCTTTCAAACATTGCAGAAATCCTGAGGTACTAATTAAAAAGTTAAGGGTGTTAAGCACCTCAACTGGAGTCTGAAAGAGGTTCTGCAAAGGGCAGAGACCCCTTCCCTCCTTCATACCCAAGCCCTTGCCAGTGGCATCCACTCAGAGTGGACACTGGACTGCTGCGGTGCCTGTCTCTGCCTCCACACCTGGCCAGGT